GACACTCAATCTTGTGCACCTGTCATTGATACTCCTTCAACAACCAGTGCTAAGAAAGAATACGAACTGTTCCGCGTGGAATTAGCTGAGATGGATATTGAGCCAAACAAATTCACATCTGAAACCACGCAACGAATCAAACAAGACTGAGACCAGTGAAAATCCCTTCCTGGTATTCCTGTGCAATTTAACAACTAATGGGTTGCCTGCAGAAAGAAAGGAAAAGCCAGAGCAACTAAGGCAGTATTGGAGTTTCAGAGACGAAATTTCTGTTTACGATGGAGTAGCCTATCGATCTCATTAAGTTATTGTCCCTTCTCCGTTACGAGAAGCGATGTTGCAGAAAATACACAAGTGCACTAGGGGGCCGACAACAGCATAAGAAGAGCGCACGAGTCTCTCTTTCGGCCTGGAATGCAAGCAGTAATCATGGAAAAATGCCTTTCATGTGGACTTTCTACCCACTACGTTAGCGAGAGACCACAAGAACCGAAATCTCACACAATACCAACTAGACCGTGGTCAAAAATAAGTGCTGACCTCTTCCAGTTAAACGGATATAACTACCTCGTAATGGTCGACCATTACGGTGATTACATAGAACTTGACTCCCTCAGTGGAAACACCACGGCTAACTCAGTGATCAGAGCAATGAAGAGACAGTTTACTCGCCATGGCATCCCAGATGAGTTGATAACAGACAATGGCCTGCAATTCGAGATTCACGAGTACTTAAGATTCGTTCAAGAATATGGTTTCACCATAGTCAAATCATCACCTCATTACAGCCGGGGAAATGGGAAAGTGGAGTCAGCAGTTAAAATTGCCAAGAACATCCTGAAGAAACCTCGCAAAGAGGATCCTTATCTGGCTCTCCAAGCGTACAGAAACACGCCTTAGCAGGGTTACTACTACTCACCAGCTAAGCGTCTCATGTCAAGAAGACTCAAGATATCATCCATACGGCAGACAACCAACTCACCCATCAGGCAGCGTCCCCTAGTCTGGAGTATGAAAACTTACAGAAAGAAGGCGAAGATCAGTGGCCTCAGTACAACAAGAGGGTCTTGCAGCCCCTTAAAGAGTTTTTAAAGAGGGGAAAAGTGTTCGTGAAACCTAGGCCTGCAAATAAGCACCAACCTTGAATATATGGTAAAGTTATTGGAAGTACGGCACCACGGTCTTGCAATGTTAGCACCTTAATGGGACCAGTTCGGAGGAATCACACACAGATTAGAGAGGCAAAGGTTGAACCAGAGAACAAACATGAGAGAGCAGATGACCACTTGGAAATCATATTGGTGAGGTTATAGTTGAGCAGTAATTCTCAGTATTTTGCGAAAGCTTTGTCAACCGGAGAAAATAGTTATAATTCAAGTTCGTGGAGAAAGGATTTTGAGTAAAAAAAGGATTGCAAAGAGAGAGACAGAGCGACCAAAGAGAGCAAGAAGTAAGAGGCGTAAAGCGAGTCGAGAAAACGCGAAAGAAAGTTAGAGAGGACGCTGATATAGGCACAGTACGGCAAGAGGAACGCGAAAGAGAACAAGAAAAGGCACAAGAAGGCGAATATTTAGCAAAGAGCAACGTGAGAATGAAATACAAGGTCTAGAAAACAGACTGAAAAGAGGTCTTCAACAAATAGAAGCGAATTACAAAGGATCCATGGAAGAGGAGGAGGTTAGTCGTGTCTTATCTGGGTTATCTCTCACGCTGAGGCTCAAAAAAAATTCAAACCCTTTTTTATCAAAAGGTTCGTATTCCTCAAGTTATTTATTGTCCTATTGTTTGGAATGTTTAGTACAGTCGTGGTGTTAAGGGAAAAGAAGTTATCGTACGGTTGTACCTTACAAACGAAGTAATGGTCTTTCTCAAAATTAAAATAAATTGAGATTAAGTCGGCGATGTTCTTGTTTTCATTAACACTGAGGCGGTAGTTTTTGACAATACTGTCATGTGAGAACACATCAAAAATTACGGACTGCAAATGTGTGATGCAAACAAACTCAGGAGTAAAATGGAGTTAGTCCTACTGCAAGGAGTGAATTTTATTGTTTGGTCATGGTACTTTTCAGTGCTATGTTTTCATGATTCTACTCGATTCGTTTGAACTCCAGGAAATGGTTTGTCTCACAAAACATTTCGCCACTTTCTCTTCGCTCAACATCTCGAGGCGTACTTAATGCTTAGGTTATGAGGTACATTCTTGCGATACGATGATTTTTTCCAAATGCTGGAAACTGAAGAATCAATCTCTGAAACTGATAGTAATCACATTTTGCAAGAAGCGTCCGAGCTGTGATAACTTCAGGTCACTACCACGCTGATAGGCACATGGTTAGCGTAAATAATTGTTTCTTACAGTTTTCGAATTCAAGAGGAGTTTTTGAGGATTCACGAGTCCGTTTCTGTAACCTTCCTGGATATTTTCTGTTGAATTCATCGAGTTACAATCTAGGAATTTCCTAGGTAATTATGAACCATAAATTTGTATCGGCACCAACATTAAGAGCACATTACGAGAAGTTTTGTTAACACATCAGTTTACAATTCGAGAACCATTTCTGTAACCTACTCGGATATTTTATTTTGAATTATTTGTGTCAAACCCTCGTTATTTTATCAGTAATTAAGAACGATAAATCCGTATATGAAGCACACGTGAAACAACACATTTTAAACTTTCCATACGATATATAAGTATAAGAAACTATAGTTTGTTAAATGTTGACCCTCGATAAATTGGCCTGGCATAACTCGTTCATTATTTGATTATTTTCTGGCTCCAAAAGCACGACTGATGACCCTGGAGTTTTACATATGTCGATAATTTCATAAAAGAATTTCTATCATAACTGTATTCAGAAGCATAGATATGTAGGTAATGTGCTTCTGCTTTATTTAATTGTAATGGGTTCCTTTTTATGTAACATATGTCCCTCCTTTAATTTCCTCCCTAACCTGCCTGCAAATAATTTTACGTTTTAATTCAAGTGTGAGAAGATGAAACAGAAGTGTTGAGGAGTTCTCTTTCTAGATATAATTCAGGGGAGTAGACGGCGATAAATAGAGAATAATACATGGGCGCGCGTAGATTTGGAATATCTCTCTTTGAGTTGAACACGAGAAGAGAAATTCCATATCTACAAGTGTTAAATGATAAAATTACAATTATAGTTAATCTACAATATCGTAAGGGTTTCCTGTATTGGTGTTGGAAAGAAAAGGAATGGAAATATTATATTATTTTAAGTCATTTAATGTAAATTATAAAAAAGGGCAGGTTGATTACTTCGCACTCCTTCTTGGTGGTCTTATCTTAAAGGTAGAGTTTGATCACATTCTTCTTGTGAGTTTGGCCACGTTCTCCTAGTGATTTTATTCACGTTTTTTCGTTGTGATCGTGAGGTTGACATGGAACTCGTGATAAGCCATGTTCTTAAATAAGTTAATTTGTTAGTCCAGGAAGAGTAAATCTCCCTGGTAATAGGTCGCGTTCGACACCTTCGTGTTCCCAGAGGTAATTTAAGGGTAAACAGGTGATACCCCTCATGTTTCGCAACCAAAAGCAATTTGGGGGCGGTACTTGTGAGCGCCTTTCTTCTTTAACTCTTGTGACCAAGATGTTGTTATGCAACAATCTTTAAAGGTGATTTTCTCTTAAGATACACTTTCAGGTATAAATAATACTCTGAACCAAGGTTATTTGTAATTTTTATATTGTCCATCTCGTTTCTGTTCTGGCCGATCTCAACCGTAAAGATATGAAAATTAAGGAAGAAATTGATTTTGTAACTGCGTGCATACTCAGTATGTGGGAACTATAATACGTAGTCAAGCGTGATTCGCTAGTTGAGATGGTACGATGACGACACAAGAAGATTGACGGCTTAGAAATGTCATCCGCAGTGTCACCTTTATAAGCGGAGACTCTAATTTTTTCCTGATATCTTGAAGCTAGTCCCCGTTGTAACAACTTGAGAAGAAAAGAAATTAAAGAAGGATCAACCAAACCAACAACGAGTGTTAGATAATTTACTTCTAACACAAGCAACCATGTATTATTTTGTTTATCATATAAACACAACAGCCCTTTACTGAGAAGAAAAGCCGACTTCATTAATAAATGAAAATAAATGAACAACAATCCCCGAATATCAATCGTAGAGTGCGTTGGCGCTAACTCTTAAGATGGAAAAATGCGTTGAATCATGATTACAAAAACAACAATGGTCGTAATTTTCAATTTACATAATTCTCATTTATTGACTTTGTCCTTTCCGATAGAAGTCTTTCAGGTAAACGGCCAAAATCGGCCGGTGACAAATCTTCCAGTTGTCGATTTCATTCTCAGCCGAGAGAAATGCTTACACCAAAGCCACTGAATACGTAACTTTCGGTTTTTCTTTTAGTATATGGGTTTTCTACCCCTTCTAGAAAAGTTTGAACCTCACTGTCTGTCAGCAATACGGATTTTTCAGTATTTTAGCCGGCATAATTCGAGGAAGCTCCGAGAAACAACTTGTACTGAGAATCGTGAAGGATTTGCCATTCGGTCATCAACCTGACAGAGTGGCACCAAAGGCGAGTGAAGTGTAAGCAGCTGATTGGCTATATCAACGCACGTGAAAAAATACGATATTTTTTCAATTGTGTTATTACGGCTTTTCTCAGGGCCGGAAATCCTTGTATAACACCGCAGTTTATGTGATAAAAACAAATAACGACGAATAGTTGAGAGCATTTAATGACAACAAGCAAGATTTGAAGGTGCTTTTTATTCTATCATTACTTAGCCTAACCCTAAGCTAACCCTAACCCTAACCCTAAGCAACCCTAACCCTAAACCCTAAACCCTAACCCTAAGTGCCATATTATTTTAATACAGCGATATTTAATCTTCCATAGGAAGTACAGAGATCCCTCAAAATCGGGACTGATATCAAACTAATTGTAATGTTGTTTAAGTCCATCCTGGCCTGTAACAAGTAAACAAGGTATCTTCAATAGCAGCTTTGTTTTGCAATATTCCGTAAATCACTCACCAAATCGAGAACATTCGTACTGAAATCGGTCAGAATGATTTGTGTTCGGAAAACAAAATCCTGAACAGTTGTGGAGCCATGGATCGATGTGATACTTGAAGGTTTGGTTAAAGCAAGTGGTGTCTGTGGTTTGATGTCTGTATTGTTCATCTGCCGGCCTCTTCGTAATCCACTAGTTCTTTTCCCTCTTGAGCCCTGCTGAATTTTAAAAAAGGGTGAAATCACGTTTCAGAAGCTGAAGACTTAGGGAGTATATCAATTTCTCAACAAAACATCGACAAAATCGCAATACTTTATCATAATCAAATTCAATACTTGTTTTATCACTCAATTGCTGATTAAAAGACAAACAATAGTGCCATTGATGATTTTAGATATATGACATTCATATATTTGCACTGCGGTGAAGAAACGAAATTAAGAGATCCTCGCAGCTAAGAACACTACTGAACTAGTAGTCGAAAATAGGACCTGAAAAAAAAATTCAGGCCCGTACGGGATTTGAACCCATAACCTCTGCGATACCGGTGCAGCGCTCTACCAACTGAGCTAACTAGTTCAGTACTGTTCTTAGCTGCGAGGATCTCTTAATTTCGAATAGTCCCATCATTCCTCCATTTCTATGGGTTTTTAACCCTTACCTTCATTTCGATCAAAATCCTTGGTAAACGTCGCTGCACCAATGCGTACGCCAGACGTTTTATTCGGTTCATTCCCTCCCGCATCATCAACTTCTCACCAAGTTTCAGATGGCTAAGCTGTTTTGTGGAATTCCTCATTAGTGAGATGAAGGCTTTGACTACACGAATGTTTTCGTCAAGCACTTGCTGCGGCTGAAGAGAAAAGGATAAATAGTTTATTTTGGGCGACTGAACAAAGTAATCACTATGGGATGATGAAAGGCTAATAAATGTCACACTGGGAAAGGTCTATGTTACTTTTAACCTGAAAACCTCTATATCCATAAAATTGCCCAATAATTACTTTTTGCTTTTTGTAGAATTGAGAAGAACTTTAAAAAAAGGAATTTCCGTTCCTAATACAATGCAACTACATGTTGATAGAGTAAATTATCCGATTTACTCAGTATTGCATTTAAACTGAATGTTTTCCATTAAATTGAGTTATCTCTTAATTAAAGCATAAAACTAGAATTGAAAATCTTGATAGATGGGCATAGATACCTTTACGACAGTTTTCCGAGGTGGACCAAAGAAATGGGTGTTGCTGGCTTTATAGGGGTTCATTGGCCATCTCGAAGACTGTAAAAGCAGAGGAGATTGATTCAGTAGATTGTTAAAATACAAATAAAGGTCAATAGCTACAACATTACAGGACTAATAGAGATAATAAAGCTGTTAACGCGTACCATGTTTTTGCCGAGATCAGTGATTATGTCTGATAGTTCGAGAGACTTATGTTGGGCTTCTGACAGTTCACGACGAACATTTTGATCTCTTTGGCATGGCCACGTGTGATTCGTCTGATTGACAGGCAAACTAGTACCAATGGAAATGATGACGTACATAACAAAGCTACCGATGAAATATCCTGCTTTGAAATCAAGAAAGAAGTCTGATTAGTATGATATTTTTACTTACAGTTTATAATTTTTGACATTTTTTATTAAGTATTAAGTTGGAAGAACTTACCAATTTTTTTTTAACTATTTCAAATTGTATAATCTAAATCTTATTCTCAAGCCACAGTGCTTTTTTATGTCACAAAACGTAAGAAACGTGAGAAATAAGTTGTCAGTGTACAAGTTCTTTAGATGTGCAATTATAGTCATACCTTTCATCCTTATGAACGGTCAAGACTGAACTGTTTAAAGTCGTTCTGAATTGGTTCACGAGAGAACAAGAATAGTATCTTCAGCTCGGCTACAGGCCTTTTATACCCACACAGTTGAGTCATGTATCCTACTATGAGCGCTAACAAGCTGAGAGAGGAAGTTTGAATATCTTTGTTTCTATTTAAAACTGGTAAACCTCTTGATTACCAGCTTTTTTTTGTCCATTTGAAACTTCCAGTAAGAGGCATTTCTTTTGTAATGGAGTAAGAATGTACCTTGTAATAAAGTTAATTTTTAAATAGTTGTGTTCCCCCTTGACTTGTTCCGTACTCAGAATAGTGAATGCAGTAGCACCCTACCGTGTATGAAGTAACATGCATTTGCAAAAGAATCCTTTAGTAATGACACCAGAAGTTTAACGTTGATGTTGTTACAGTTATCACCTTTTTTTAATTGAAAAAAAAATGAAATCTTAAAATATCTTTCCTGGATGGGGTTATGTAACAACTTGCTATAGCTTCAAAGTACTAATCTGGAGAAGAAAGTAGTATGAAATAACTTGAGTGGTGAGGCGTGACGCATAACTTGAACGAAAGTGAACTTAGTGATAACAGTTTTGTGAAAAGGATTGTGATTTTGCCTGCGGAATGAATACGGTCGATAAATGTTTCAAATCTAAGATGGAAAACTTTATTCTAATAGCCTCAAAGGAAGAGCAGAGAGGGATGGCAAATCAAATCAACATAGAATGAACATAAATTTTCCAAGAAAAGTGACATTCTTTGACCATTCTAAAGATTAATATTACAGTTCCTCTATACTGTTATGTACCGTTATGGCCTGAAGGAAAGCGCTCTCAGTTAAAATCAAACGGTTTTCAAATCCTTAACATAAAACCTCGTCAAGTTAGACAAGAAAAATCATATGGTGAAGGAAAGATGCCCGCATTTTTTACAAAATCTGACACTTATGGCGACGAAGAGCTTCCTTGCATCATGATGTTGTGATGTTGCTGTAATGTTTTTCAAGGCTATTTTAAGAAAATACAGTTAAAAGAGCCCAGCAGGCGTCAGTTGTTGTTGAACTCCGAGTCGTTTGACGTGCCTTGACAATTAAGAACTTTCCCGGAATTCAGACACGCGATTAGGATGATGTCAATCAAATTAAGCCCTGCAGAGCACATAACAAAACCCTCTGTAACGTTGTGTTTTGATATGGTAGTACGACGCTAAAAGCCAGCCTTCAAAGCAACGTTAAATTTAGTTGAATCAATGTCCAGCACAAACATTAGCTAACATCTTTTTTATTAACTAAATCGTAGAGTGGTACTCATCCTTTTTTCCTCAATTCATAAGCTCTAAAGAAGTGCAGACTAACGGTTTTGATTTATATTAGCAAAAGCATTTCTTGAACTTGGTAGTTTTGATCTCCTAGTTGTTCAGATATCGAAGTGTAAATTAGAAGATATTAAAGCTTTTTTTTCTTCAAGTACACGGTATAAATAAAGGATGCAAACTGCTTTGATTGATACTCATTACAGATATTTGTGAGGAGACGCAAAACAGTAAGTTACATCAAAAATATTTATTCTATAAGTTTTAAAATCTGTTTTGAAAATAAAAATTTTACTCTGGATTCAAAGAAGGAATTTAAAAAACTTATGAGTGACCTTTATTTATGAGTGACTTCATTTTGGTCTGATGATGATGGTAATGATGATTGATATCGCCATCATCCAACAAAAGCAAGTAAAAATGATCTTATTTATCTACCCTAAGTATGAGAAAAAGGATTGCTGCAGGAACCGTCTCATAATTTGTGTCAAGGAAACAAAACTTACGATGATTTTGGCGATTCATGGCCGATGATTTGTGAGTGCCTTGGTGTTCCTTTACAACCCGAGTTCGTTGGGGAACCAGTCCTTCGGCTTCTTGGAGACGGTTCATTTGTTTCATACAATTTTTCATCAGTAACATAAAGGTTTTCATTACGCGACAATTTACTCTGAAAATCTTCCTAAGCCTAAAAATTGATAGAAGAAAGTATCTAAAATCGGCTCAATAAACTCTATACCTTTTATGTTGACCTACCTATCTTGACGAAGTTTACTTATTCAGTTAATCAAGTTCATTAGAAAAGCAGCCTCCAATAAACTATCGTAACCATTATATCGTAGGATATCTTTAAGAATGACAGTAGCGTTTATTGACATACAAAGCAATTCTGAAGGACATAAAAGTAAGTGAGAAACTGCTACATAAGTGTTTACCGTATGTGCTTTTCTATTGAACCTTCCGAGATGTACGATGAAGTCTACATTGGTTTCCTTATAGGGATCTGTTTGCAAATTTCTTTTCTGTGAGGCAAATCAGCATAATTAGAGCAACACGACCTATCGCACAAAAACTGAAAAACGGATCACCGCGAATATCAAAGTGTGTATTATTGTGTTTCGATTGAAAATCCAGACATCATGACAGTTATGAAATTTATATAATATCGTGCTGCTACCGAGCACGATTCTCCATTCGCCAGAATGAAGTCCCTTTTGCATGGCCATGTCTGGGAAGGACGTGTAACGAGAAAACAGGTCATTACTCTGAAGATACAGCCAAAGGGAAAACTTACTGCAGTAATCACCAGGAAAAAAACTACAACTTCGCAAATGAAAATAAAATACCGAAAATTTGTGTTTACTTGTTCAACTAGGCTGGATGGTTAAACCAAGCAATAGAAGTAAACGAAATTAAAACTAAAAGTAGTAACTGGAATTTTAAAGAAGTAATTAGTTAAAAAACCATGGTTAGTGATGAGATCATTTAAATTCTGTAGTTAAATTATGAACTTGGTATGGAAACCGGAATAGGGAATATTCTTGCCGTCCACCTGCTCCAACAAGATGATTTCCCGTTATTTCTAATTTTCCAGAATCAATCGCCACTTCTTGTTGTAGCCGTACTACATCAGGACCAAAGAAAAACAATAAAATAGAAAATAGAGAAAAAAATCCTTTAGTTGGCTTGTTTGGTAAAAATCGGACGATAAAAAAGATAACTTTCAAAAAAAACAATACATTCTCTTCAGAGATAGAGCGTTAGATGAAAGTTGTTAAACCCTCCAAATACAACAGGTTAGTGGCTTTCAAAAGACGCAAGTAAATTTATTTTGAAGCTACAGCCATGATCTTTTTGAAAAATAAGGGTATAGTTTAGGGCGAAATTGATCCTACTGCGGTCAAAGGCTCCTGCTGTTACAAAAGGAACAACATCTTCAAACAAAGGAGTATGTTTCATTGGACATGCGCCAGATTTGCGTCACCAAGGGAACTGGGAAGTCTATCATTGTCACGCAAGATGCATAACTTTTCTCGGAAATGTTTTTCAAGGAAAAACGATGCACCTGTCTATCTCAGTGCTGAAGACCAAAATAAGAAAATTTCAAATTTATTTTGTCAGAGGCGTGAACTCAACTCGATTTAAACGTCCAGAGAAAGAGGATTCCCTGGGATGTCAAAGTAAAAGTGTATGACTGTCATCTTAGCACTTTCGTTAAAGAAAGATAGGACAACACTTATCAGTTATTAGCAGTAAACGGTGTTGCAAAGACCTTTTTACAGAGGCTATTTTCTTAGAACTATCAATCAACACATTGATTTCATTTTGAAGACAAATCTGTGATATTTGTTTAAACTCAAGACCACGAAACAGTTCGGAAGGAAACAAATGATTTCTCTGGGGAGCTCCCGTGGAATATTTTTACAACTGATGTCCCTTGACATGTCGTGAGGCAAACAAGGAAGCATAGATAGGGGGAATTTTATTATTTGGCAAGGACGAATTCGGGGAGTTGAGTGGCAGAGGGGAATTTTCCGGTAAGTAGATGACAGAAAACTGATTTACGTGGTTGAAGTCGATGTAGGAGTTTTTTGAACAACAGTATATTCAATTGTGTGTGATATGGAAAAAAAAACGCGGCGGCGTTTTGTTGATGTCAAAAAAGCCTCTGTTTCGGAAGCAAACGATTATTCCCGAAGGAACAGACTTCGACTCATATTCTTAATCGGATTTAGCTTGGGCTGATGAAAAGGGCGAATGTTTTGAACTAGAGTCATACACTGGTAAAAAAGAGGAATTGAATCAATTCTTTGAATACAAGTTGTCATAAATAAAGTCAGATGAAAAAATTTGTCCATAGTAGGAAATATTGCAAGACTTCAATGCTGACTCAGTTGCGGATATCTCTCGTCTCTCTCATATTAATTTCCCGCCGGCTGGACTGAGCGGAAGTCTAGACATGAACAGAAGGGACCAATTTAGGAATGAGATTAACGATCGTTTTACCTCTGATTCTGTAGCAACACAAAAAATGAGTTTAGACGTAAATAATTAAGAGTGGAAGGGTTACAAGTATAATTTACTTGACTAGAGAAGTGTGCCTATAACTGTAAATCACGTTAGTCTAGGAACACAACGCTTTCGTTTCATTGTGCCCTTAAAAAGTTTTAACATTAGCATTCAAACTGCGATACCATATTTATGTAATAGGCCAAATGATTTACAACTCGATGATATACATTTAAATTACATCAGTTTGTGATTCAAAAATAGTACTCACTATGCACGATATAGTAAAATACTTATAGTCCCTTCCTATCCCTATTCAGATCATTCCCACCTGAAGGTAGACCCTGTTAACGACAGACACAGGTCTCCATTGAAAGCAATTTGTAATACTATGTTGTTAATCTGAGCCTTACACCTTTCCACTGTCCGACCTGTTATTGATATCGCTGTCAATATTCAAAACCTAACAACCGAAATTTTTTCATAAAAAAAAAACTGCGAACGCAGCTGGAGCCGAGACATTATTAAGGATTTTTGTGTCCATTCGACATTCTTTAGATAACGCTTCTCTTTTAGGTTCAGTTTTTTTGTTACTAGTATTTGCAATCTACTAGATTTGGACCTATTACATTGTAAATAAAACATTAGATATCAATTCTGTAAATTTATTTACTTAGAGGAGAAAACCATACTTAATAAACTGACTTATCATGAGGATTTACGCTCCACAACTCAGCTACGAAGACTATGGTAACTGTAGGCTGTTAGTCTTTGCTACACTTAGTCTTCAGAATCATTTTGAAATCAACATCCACTTCAAGAAGGCTCTAATAAAGACCATTCAAAACCAACGACACTAAATGCTACGCCATGAATTGTAAGTGAGGTAGAATTCAGGAGTCCTGTTGAGTCCTGGGAAGTGATCTGAGAGGTACGCAAGGATATTACTACTGATACATGGTTTCCACTTATCACAGATCCCACAAGTGCTGTTGCATTCGAGGGAGAGCCCTGTAAGAAAAGATACTCATTGAAGCCTTCATTTCTTCAGTTTCTTCAAGACATTCCTTTCAGGACATAGGAAGGTGAATTGGAATTAGACCCAAGCCCGGAATTTGTCTAGCGTTAAGGTCGGTGGACTTCCTTTTCCGTATAATTTGGCTCATGGAAGTTTTAACCTCAGCACTGATCACACATGTATATCGTCAAAATCTGTTGCACTTAGGAGTCTGAGGCAATGATATAGAGAAAGGTATTGGTCAGCGTCCTCGTTGTTTTGATGTCCGTCAATTTGATGCCAAAAGCACATCAGTATAAGGGTTGTAGCCAATACTTCTCAAACTACATCATCAGCAAATAAAAAGACGCTGATTAATATCAGCGAGCCCGCAATATTCCATTAATACTGGTCAGAGGATTCTTTCGCGCAACAGCTGTCACTTTAACATCGCAGTTAAGCGATTGCATTGCAGGCTTATTAAATTTAGGACCAAATCTTACCACATTTAGGAATTTATTACATTTAGGCCTTCAACAGATGCTTCATGTTAGTCAGCCAGTAGACATCGTGCAAGGTAGTGCGTCACTTTGTAGACAGACTAAGGGTTATGATTGTTCTTACGCATGGTAGAAGAGAACTGCAGCTGGTCGGCCGTAGTGTTAAGTGGTGGAAGACCCTTCAGTTTCTAATCCTGGGATAGTGCTTGAGATGGTCAAGACATCGAAACCACTCATTACTAAAGAACAGTAGTAACGATGGTACGTCATAGAGTTGTGATATAATTATATTATACGTATGCAGTTATGTTATATTGAGATTCACAATTTCAGCTACCTTTGAGACTAAATTTTTTATCGTATTCTGCACATAATATTGCAGAGAAGTGAGGTCTGTAGGAGGAGTTGTCAAGTTTAAAAGCGTGATAGCTCCGTAAATGATTCTCTAAGCAGAGGACAGTACTCTTGAACATTCTTCGGTGAAATTCCATATTTATACTTTTCTGAGTACAGGCATTGAAAAAAAAAATTTTACGTGTCACGTAATTCATATCGTAAGTGAATAGGTAGACAGTTAGGGGAAACCTAAGAGGAACCGGATGTTGCGGCTGGACAAACTAAGCCTGTGCTGAGGACACTTCGAGGTCTGATTATCGTTTCTTTAATGTTTATGATCAGGCAGACGGCCAAGTAAGCTTTCAGTCGTAATGTATGAGAATTTTGTACAAGGAACCGGTAGTATGAGAGGCTTAAAACAGAGAAACCATTATTCACGCGTTGGTCACCGGTAACTTTGATCGAGGCTGGCTTATATGGTGCTTAAGGTAATAACGTTCCCAAGGTGGAAATATCCTGAGAGGTAACAGACTCAGTACCGTTCTCAACCGTAGGGGGTACATGTTAAAGCGTTAACATTTCCCAATCGAGAGAGGGGAGACTTGTCAGTCCAAGCTGTGATGCATGAGCATTCAGTTTTGTATTCTTGAAATTTAATGTAGTTATAATAATTTGTGAAAATCGAATGGCGTAGTCGGTCGAGGTCGTATTAGATTCACTTGATAAGAAAGTTAAGACAGAACACGAAAACTTCATCTTATACCGGTGCAACTTAAGGTCGTTAAGTTCGAATCTGCCTTTAATTCACGCAACAAAGTGACACTGGCTGAGTCACATGAATCCGTGATTATGTACTTTCTCAGACGCCAAACTTTGAAGCGTCAATGTTTTGAACGAGTTAAATCTAGTGCGACAAAATACAATACTGTTCCTGTCGTTAAGGTTATTAAAATCATTTTAATGATCCGAAAGAAGCGCTACAATTTCCTTTAAAACATGTGCAACAACATTTTCACCTCGTTACATATCCACATCTTCCACTTAAAAGAGAGCCCTACTCATCTTACCGTGTGTGTCGATGTTCTGGATGTCAGACAGGCCAAACATCGTAATGATACAGAAAACCAGTGGACCTTCGCCAATGGCGGTGGAGTGCAGAGAATCTCGAACATCGTGCAAATCCCGAAGACGATTGACGGGCACAGACGTATTTTTCAGCATGACCAAAAGCGGCACAAGAAAGGAGAAGGTGACAAAGTTAATAGGATGACCAGCAAAAAGGCCCCCTTCTCAGCAGCTTTTCATTTTTCTTTAAATAAGAAGCCAGATTAAAATCGGTAATCAGAAGTCTTATCTAAAAAATACCAAGCTAAGTTAGCATTTCTAGTTTCCAGGTAACTGCTCATACACATATCAATTTGAGCTCATCAGAGCTTCTGATGGTGCACAAATTAAACTCTTCATCAAAATAAATAGAACATAAACTAAAATTAATTTATAATCATGACTAATTTTATCAGGACTGTTTCTCAGTTGTAAATTTTCGTTAACTCGGCTTTGACGATTGTATATTTGACGTAAATCGTTCAAGTTTTCATCCTTATCTACTCATTCAACTCAAGAAAGAAGAGGACAAAAACACTTCCAAATTTGTCGGTGCGAACTCATTATAGCCCTCATCAGCGTTGCATTTCAACTCACAAGGGTTAATAAGGTGTCAAGGTTCAATGACAACACTTAAAAGCCAAACGAGCTGGGTAACCCGGAAACCTAAAAACGTTCTGCAATTTTCTGTAGCGATACTACACACCAAAACGTCTAACACGATCTATGCTTTGAATTATTGTTAGTTCAGTACCATGTGCCATCTTGAGTTATGTACTGATCGTGAGTTTAGTAAACTACAGTATATATACCGTTCGGATGTTTGTTGACTGAATTGTCACTTTTTTTCATTACAAATTACCACGAAACGCTGTGTATCTAAGGCTTGATTCCAATTCTACGCATCATACATAAAAAAAGCTATTAAATAGGTTCAGAATAGCCAAAAGGTGGAGAAATATTCCATATCATAGTTTACTTCCCCAGGGCACCAGATATCTCAGTTTGTAGCCTCATGGAGATCCTCGCCACAGACGTCGACATATATTGAAACGCAACGCTTCGTAGTAAATGTTACACTATTAATTATATACATGAAAAGATTACTCAGTTCTGATTGGTTAAGATTAAAGCAGTTTTCAGGTAATTCAATGCAGAAGAGGGTTAATTCAGTGCAAAGAAAGTAACAAACCAGACATTCTGCTTGGTCAATAATCAAAGAAACTCACCGATAGCCAATCAAATGCGAACTTTGGATGTCTCTACATTTGGATACGCTGAAAATTTGCGAGCGAAACAATGGCCGGCGTTGTAAGTAGTGTTTCTTTCGCCACCACAACAACAATAAAGCGGCTGAAAAGCAGCTCTAACAACGAGAAAGCTTTAAAAAGCACCGCTTTTTAGTTTTCGGTTTGGAAATAGTGTTGTTTAAAGAAGGGGATTGCCAAGGAAATCAAAAATTACGAGCCGACCCAGCTTAACACTTTGCTCAAGCAATCCTACCCGTGGTTAAGCCTCGCAAACGACGACTCCATTTCATCGAAAGTGATTCGGTCACAGACTGAACAATTCCTTGAACTGTTTAGCCGGACTTTGAACTTTTTTGCGCCTTAAAGATGTGAAAATATCATTGTATATTATTGTTTTGATCGTTCGCGGTTGTTTTGACCGAACGCACGATGTTACTTGCATGGTTTAAATAAATTATTTTTGCACTTAATGCGCGTTTCGCTTCTGCATAATTATGATAAGCTATCTCTTATTTATTTCATGTATATTTTTAATACGTAATCACATGAGTTTTCTCGCGCAATCTGGAAAAAAAGGCACTTGTACATTTTTTGGCCCGTAGGGCTCGTGCAATTTTGTTAGTCTATGAAAAAATTTACTCATGCCTATTTATTCCAAATTGCACTCGAAATTATGTGATTACCTGTAATTGTAGGATTTTTACCGTCCGAAAGAAAGATCAACAAACAATACAGCATTCTTGTAAGTCCTATACTTCTGTGATTTTCATTGAATTATGCCACAATTGTTACAAATAAGCTGTAATCGGCTCCTGTGTTTTTTTTTTATTCTAAGGACACAAGATCTTTGTTACTTTTACAAGGTCCACTTGCATTACGACAATTTCAGTGTAAAAATCTTCCAGCATAGCGGATGCTTTCACAGCAACTCCATTAAGTGTTATGGCCGAGGGTGCAGCTGTTGTTGGGGTCTGGACAACAATCGGAACACCACTAACTGAGTTGAGAGTTGAGTTACTGACAGCGGTCGTGCTGGGGCGAAGACTTAATGTTTGCGGCTGGCCAGGCTTCAAAAAAGAAGGAAACAGTTTGGTTTACATTAAACTCAATGCAACTTCATATTCTTAGCACTGAAAGAAAAAGTCGTGCAAACAGCATGCTACAAGAACAGAAAACCGGGAATTCGAGCGAACATTTTGCTCGACAAGTCTTCATCTTCACAGAGTGGACAGGCCCGTTATCTGCAAGTAATTCCTTAATAGATAATTTTAACCAAGATTTTGATTGTCATACCTTCAATGCATTTTGAATCGCCCGAACAAAAATCATTGTATTTTCAACTTTCCACCTAATTTCCTGAAGCTGATGCGTTACATCTCTAGCCACTGAGAAAGCACTGAGTTGCCTTTTCAACGTTCTTATGAGTGGCAGGAACACTTTCAAAATACGGTAGTTCACTTCTAAAGTGCTTTGAGGCTGCAAAGGAAAAACACTGAAATTAGAATTGTTGAACAGAGGCCAAGCTCCGGAAGGGGATAGCCTCTCGCTATGAAATTTTTCCCAATATCTCCAGGCACTAGGGACTGAAGATCAGCCGTCTGCGGGGTTTGCCTTCCCTTAATGTTTTCTGAAGATTTAAGAATGATAAAAATGCTACCATCCATCACTTCGTATCTGTGTCTCACCATTGTTTCATTTTCCGGTTTTTTATTCCCTGTCTCCGATATTATTGTGATTTTTCCCTCGCCATGTAAGAAGAAAAACGAAATGTTTCAAATGAAAACCTCGGAGGAAAAAGTCGATCTAAATTTCATGATGCAAAACCAGAATTTGGTTAGTGGCGAGTCTCGAGGGAAAGGGTACATGGTTTACACAAATAACAAACAGGTGACTGAAAGTGAGCATCGTTTCACTGGCAAAGAAGTAAATGAGTATGATATGTCTCTCACCGTAGTTTTCTTCGTAGCCTGTAATTGTTGGATAGGTGTTACTATTGACTCTACGGAAGCCGTCTGGTAGTTGTCATTTACCCATCTTTTTTCCTACAATTGAGGCAGGACAGTAAAATGTTACAAAAAATGGTCAATTTAAAATTTTTTTCACTTTGGTACTTATCCCCTTTTTGTAGAAATAGCGAAGGCTGTCCCTTTACAACCCTTTTTATATACAGTTAAGAAGAACGCGTTCGTGGTACTCCAGTCCTCTAGAAGTCTAGAACTCAAAGAAGAAGATTTCCCGTCCATTCCTAACTTGCCTCCCAGCCCTTAGCACCAAAATCTTTAATGCTGCTCTACCCAAACGGGAAGAGAACTTGATTTTCCTTATTTTCGATTCCATTGGATAGACTTAAATGACTCCATGGTGCGTTAGAACCTTTTTTATTATATTGAAGATATCTTTCATTGGTTCCTTCGGCTTATTGTGTTTGCTAATATCATGCATAAGGGAGAGATTAAAATTGCACCATTATTGATCCTTAATGAAATATCAATTGCAGAGATCTTTAGTAAAGATGCTTACAATCGTTTCTTTTGTCTTGAGTACATCTACGCTCAACTCTAGCAGCATTGGAAGCAATTTGTTCAGTTTAGCCTTCGTTTTCGCATCGAACTGGCATCTCTTCTTAGTTATTGCCGTACACGTTGTTATCAAGAAGGAAAAAAAAGCAAGCCAAACTATAAAAAAATAGTAGATGAAACGATTAAGCAAGTTGTCAATAGATACCAATAGATTATAAACTGTCTATTTTATATTTTATATACTTGGTCGACTTTGTCTATAATTTGTGTGATCGTCGCCACGGAAAATATGCTTGATCTTGATCAATAAATTTTTGACCGGCAAGTAATTCCACAAAACGTCGTCTTTTCGCATCAACAAGTTTCTTTCCTTTAGTATCAGATTTCCACTTCCGAACCAGAATCAAGGTAGAACTAAAAAACAGTATATTAAGATGATGCCTCGATAACATTTCGAAAACTTACCTTTCATCGTTTGAGGGTATAAGCCTTGGCAAAAACTCCAATAGTTAACTCTATTCGTCAGTGAAATAAGGTTCTACTGAGACAAATCGAGCTAGGCAATCTTATATACTCATTATGTCTTGGTAAAATTTTAAATTTAGACCCTATTTTACCTACAGGTTCTTGGAGACTAAATGGGTCATTTCCCTCCGTTATGAGAACTTTGATCCGGTCAAACAGGTGAATTGAGTTCCTTTAGACTCTTTTGTCCGTGTCGGTGGCAGTATCCTGCAGTGTTACAGTGCAAGGAAAAAGACAGTATGTGTAAGGGGATTTACGGCAAGGACGATCATCAATCTTTTTCTAGTACATCTCGTGTGTTATCTCGATATATTTAACCATTGGAGCCTTCATCCTGGAAAAAAGTGCTTAAGTGAATTCTAGTATCATACTAGATTTTGCCAATAACTTCCTCTGGCTTTGCGAGGTGCATGATCCCGAAGTCTTTACGGCATCTTTTTTATGCCTGTAGCCTATGTATCACTTTCTGTAGTTCTTAATCGCCATTATTACGCAACAAAACAACCTAAGGATATCGATCATGTTGAATATCTTAGATGTTTTTAGTATTGATCGAAGACTATGATTTATTTCTCTTTTCCTCCCCCAAATTTTCTTTAGCTACTATTTCATTTTTGTTGTTCTTTAGCTTTTGAAATGTTCTACATTATCACTCTAAGATATACTTAGGAAATTTATATGATAGTACTTCTGATTTGACCGTAGAGACATTAAAAATTAACCGGATAACACTATTTAATGAACTCAGTGAGAAATATTCGTCAGACAGATCAGCTGTTTATACCGGATGGTCGCTTGTTCTTATTAACGTGACAACAGATTCCCTTCTACTAAATATTGAAATAGAATATCCCCTATATGAATATCAAAAAAACCGTTTTCATAGAAAGTAATGTTTGCCAACATTATTTATTCACTTTCGCTCTAAGTTGAAAGATTTGGCTGGCCTTTTAAACATAAAATAGTTTTCCAACGCACTATAGTAAAGTTATAGTTATAGTAAAGGGCCGTCACTTAAATCAAAAATATAGAAATGGACAACCAGCATTTTTGAAAAATGACTCAGTGTAGTAAGAATATAACAAAACAACATTCAATGCTAATTTATTCATTTTCACAACAATCAGAACACGTAGACATGTTGACCATTGAATAAATTACTCCATTCTTTCCAAGAAAAGATGGTCTGTGTCGTAGAATACGCAGAGGATGAGTTCAGGTAATGACCAAACTATGATATGATTCTTGCTTTCGTTCATCTCATATTCCCGAAAGTGCGTGCGGAAAATCACTTTTAAAGATGATTTCCCTATACGCTTTTTCTTGTCATATAAACAGAATGTCATATAAATAGAATATTTCCTCACTTTCATTTAATTTTGTCTATTTAAGTAGTCATATGCTATTCTTAAACGCTGGATACTTTCCCGTGAATATTACGTGCATCCTCCCCGAATTCAAATCTTGTCTTAATTTCTTGAACATTTTATCGTCAGTCGATGAACTTTTTCCTGCCTCTTGAACATGCACTTGTTTCATTTTAGATGATGATGTTATTGATTCTAGAAACCAAAACACAGAGGCAAAAGGAGGCAAAAGGAGCCTACTCTGTTAAGAGTTGAAGTTATCTTGAAATAATTTTTAGGGACCTTGACAGCAGAAGGATAGGGTTGATTTTTTCAGGGAGCAGGTCGGCCATCGAAATTCTCTCATTTTCAACCCTTTCGGGCGACAGTTCCGCTGTTTGTGTGTCTGTGTGTTTTTTTAGGAACGATGCCTAGAGAAGTAAAATGCATATTCATCAATAACGATGTTCTTCTCATTGAGGAACGGTTGCAACTAAGGAGCACCTCACGCTTTTAGGCTTGGCGAAATCTATACATCAAGATTAAAACTGCAGACCAAACCATTATTTTTAATTCTCTAAAATAATCATCCTCTGCACTGTCGCCGATCAAGTTTTTGCTTGTGTTTAGACGCATTAATGAGGAATTGCAGGAGATATTCATTTCACCTTTAAAGTTACCAACAACCAAAAACCGCAGTTTTGTAAGCTCGTGAGGGAATTCAACTCATACATGTCAACAGCACATCGAAGGTATCTGGACAATAGATACCGTCGCTTCTATAAATCACTTGCCGGTATATTCGTGTATATCTTAAATACTGGATTCCGTGAATTATTCTTGTGTATTAGAGGCTTTATTTAGACGACTTTTATAAATGCAGATATTGACCTCACTCAATCAAAACAGCTCAAACTGTTAACCGTGGCCAGTTCCACTAAATATAATTGTGCAAAGACGGTTGTACTTTTTAAGGCTCGAAGTATAGTCATCATCATCGTCAAAAGGTTACTCTTGGAATGTTTCTCCAAAATTTCCGCTGAATATTTATATCGGATTTTTCATGTCGATGGTAAACTGGGCACATCATAATTCACTTTGCGAACAAATTTTTTAACAAAAGATCTATTAGAAGTCAGTATACCTTTCTACACGTACCTTTTCAAAACTGAGGTCTCCCAATCAGCTTCTGTTTTTTGTTGTTTCCACAAAAAAACCTATTGCCTATGTATACTTTTAAAATCAGCAATTTTTGAACATTTCAAACAAATAATATAAAAAAACAAATGCTAAAGAGAATAACTGAAGTAAAAAATTTATCAACTTAATTAAAAAGAAAATATTTTTATTAGAAATTAGTTAATGATGTATAGCTCTCCCATTCCGAGCCACTCTTGCACTATCAACTTACACGCCACCGTCTGCAGGGTTGTAAGAAATAGTATTTAATGAAACTACGAACTGCTACAAACCTACGTCTAAAAGTGTTAAAAGAATTCGCACTTTTAGTGCCCGTTAGCAATTTGTTCCAAACGAAGAACATCTTTAAATCAAATCTCTACAGGTTTTGAATGTATGAAGTCATTATTATGAGTTACTTCTTACTAGCTACTATCTTGTTCATATAGAGTTCTTTTGGAATAAAGCCAGGCCTCAAATAAAGCTGAGGGGGACGCGGCCATGCAGGAAAAGTTCAACGGCTAAGACATAAAATTCAAGAGAAGCTGGCTTCACCAGAAGAAAAAGTTAAGAGTATTTGGTCTCATCTAAAGACTCTCAGGAGCAGTCCTCAGGTGAATTGTAGGAATAGCAAATCGAGAAGAACAGTCTACGCGATTTAATTTCATCTTTGAGAGAGGCAAACTAAAGATAAGTTGCTGAAAGGTTTTATCCCCTTTCATCTGCCTTGTAATTTTTTGGAGAGAAGCAGTCAACCAAATGCCAGGTGCCAGTCGATCTAACACGTCAAACAGATCTAACAGTGGCAGAATTAACAGATCCAATTAATGACAAGAAGTCAAAAATATCCTCTGGCAGTACAGATGTGCAACGACTAAAAAGTTGTTAGCAACAAAAAGAATAAAACACGAAAAGAAAGGAACAATGAGGATGGGACACAGTCCAATAACAAGGTCTTCGATAATTGCAGTACTGTTGCCACCAAAAATTCGATTGGTGTATCTGTACAAATTGTCACATTTTATTCAGGCCTTTTGTTCTACACACATAACTTTCATCAATATTCTGTTACTTTTTCCTGTATAATTTTCCTTTGTTTATGTCGCGTGTTTTAGTTCTTCACCGCGGATCTACCAACTAACCGTTTTAACCGTCTCCATCGATCGCTTTACGTCGCTGTAAATCGTCCTTAATTTGCCAGTTGACACGGATCTCGTACAACGTTTGTAAGTGTCTTTTGCCGTTCGTTTTTTTTCCTCGTTTGTCGATTTCTTTAGCTATAATCGTGATAACCTATAACTTTTAATTTATTTATAGCAATCGCTTTGATTTGAATGACTTCACTTCGTTTCGTTTGGTCGATTTGGAAGGGAAATTGGTTTTTGGCTGTCACATGTGTAACCATGTTCATTGGAGACTCCATAATAAAGCTAGAAAAAACCTTCGGCTATAGAATAGTGGTCAAACTATTCTCTAGGGCCATTAAAAAAGCTATGTAGGACTACCTCAAAGCCAACCTGGAGCATTCGCCGGACCGAGTTGTTCTCCATGATGGTACCAATGACCTAAAACTTAAAAATCGTTGAAAGCTGTCGAATCGATCGAAGGCAAATCGAAAACTAATCCGATGCCACCTTTGCTATAATGGAGCAGTAAAAAAAGCGAAAAAACATCAAAAGAGCTGTTGCCGTTAGAGTGGACGGAAACTTGCTCAGCACCAAAAGATCACAGAGAATTGTCTAAAAAAGAAGAGGACTGTATCTCAATTTTAAAGGTAATCAAAAAAATTTAATAACTTTCAAACAACTAATGATTGAAATTACGCGCTCTCCACGAATTTCGCGCCTGCTCAGTGTACTATAAGCAACACTGAGCAGCGGGACTAAGCTCAGCAGGAGACTGTAAGAGACAACGAGGCTACTTTGGGCTACGATTTAGTTCGACGTCAGAGATGAACAAGTGGTGGACGAGAAGTCTAACTTATGTTGCTTACAACAAA